AACTAAAGATTATCGTACTCAAGCGATGTCATTGTATTTACAATCGACTACTCGTGAGCAAGAAATACTTGCAGATGGAATTAAAAATATTATTGTAGGTTTTCCGAAAGAAGAAAATAATGAAATAATGATTGATGATGCTGAAGACGATGCAGGTTATATCGAATTTAAACGTTATAATGAATTACGTGAAAAACGATATAATTTAGAAGCTGAACAATCCTTTTATTTTTTAGAGGTAGAGCGAGTCGAGGGCGAACTCAACGAACAAGAAGAAATCGTTGCCCCGACTCTCACTCGATCGTTGGGCGAGGATTTCTCGCTCCAACTATAATTAATGAAACACAAACAAAATTAACCGAGGAAGAACATCAACTTTTAAAATTAGGTCCTCGGTTTATTTATAATGACCCTAAAACAGCATCACGACGACGTGCAACTGAGTTGGCTATTCTTAAACGTAAAATTGAAGCTAGATTTTTCGAGAAAAAAGTTAGCCCCGGCCGATCAGTCGAAAAATTTATTGCTGAACTAAATATTATACTTCAAAATTTACATAATACACCTATTGGTAGTATATATCGAAAACAGAAACAACAACATAAAATTATTTCATATAATAATGTATTAAAAACTATTCAATCAAGTCAATCTCATATGACTAATCCTACAGTTATACATAAAAAGAAGAAGAATTATGTTAGATTAGTCAAACGTTTGAAACATAAAATTCGTTCGGCCAATATAGTTCTTCAAAAAACAGATAAATCAAAAGTTTTTCATTTAGGTAAACTTCAGCATTATCAAGAGAAATCCAATGAATATATGGATAAAACCGAAGCTTATGAATGTCTAGGTGTAAATGATCCATTGCCAAATTTAATTGAACGGACAAATAAATATCTTTTAGATTTAGGGTTAGCTAATTGGATTTCACAAAAACAATACGAACGATTATGTATTAAACCTAGTGAAGTTAAATTAGCCCATTTATACTATTTACCTAAAACTCATAAACCTGGTACGCCGCTTCGTCCAATTGTTTCTGGTCTTAAACATCCGACTATTAAAATATCAAAATATCTCGATGAACTACTTCGACCACTATTTGATAAAATGGCATTAAATACAACTGTTACTTCTGGATTTGAAGTAATTAAAAAATTATATGAATGGTCGGCACATAATCTACGTCAAGAAACTCTATTATGTACTATAGATGTGGTAGATCTTTATACAATGATACCACAGACAGAAGGTGTACTGGCAATCAAAAAAATGTTGGATTATCTAAAAATTAAACAAATTGGCGGTTTAAAAATTGAAACAATAATTAGACTAAGTCGATTCGTTGTAAAAAACAATTACTTTTCCTACGACGGTCGATATTATCATCAAATTCGTGGTGGTGCTATGGGTTCGCCATTGACCCTTACTATTGCTAATTGTTATATGTTCTTTTTTGAAAGAGATATCGTTAAGCAAATTATTAATGGTGGCGGTTCTTATTTAAGATATATTGATGATATATTCATTATCATCAACTGGCCTATTCGACATCTATATAAACAAATTGATCGATGGAATCTTTTTGACTTGAATATTCAGTTAAAAGTCCAAGCTGGCTGTTCAATAGATTTTCTCGATTTATCTGTAGAAAATGTCAATGGTCATCTACTAACAAAAGTATATCATAAACCATCCCACGAACCATATTATTTACCATTCAATAGCGTTCATCCTATGCATATGAAAAAGAATATTCCATTCGCTATGTTACTTCGAGCGATTAGATATTGTTCAACATTCAAAGCATTTTTAAATGAACGTGAAGATTTAAGAATGGCTTTATTATTAAACAAATATCCATGTGTTTTTATAGATAAACATTTTAATCGTGTCTTACAAAAGTTCAATATCAATCAGCCATTGACTAATAATAATTATAGTGCGATACGTGAAAAGATTATTCATGCGCCAAAAACAAAAAAATTAACCATTGATTATCAAAAGACAATGTTCATCCATTTCACTTATTGTTTAAATATGAGAACATTACCAACAAAGTTTCATAATCTTTGGAACAAGTACTTTATCGAATCTCCGATTAATGAAATTATACCGATTATTGGTACTCGAAATGTACTCAACTTGCAAAGGCAATTGGTGCAAAATAAAAAACAAAACTGATATTTGTTTTTAAAAAAATTCAACACACCCTTATGCTGATAAATTTAAGAAAATTCAACACATTCATTCAAATAAAAAATGAAAAAAGTTTATGGTAGAATTGAAAATGTTATTTAATAAATGCAAGCAAAGCGTTTTTTCAAATTAAACAATTCACATACAAGCTAATGACATATATCATCATTACAAATAAATTCTACATTTTAGAACATATTTTTTTTGAATTCAATTTTAAGAATAAAAACTTCCCCTTTTTTTTCATGTGAATCTATTCGTTTTCTTTAAATTCTACTTTGTTTTCGATTGTTCTGAATTTCTAGTATTCGATTTAAAACTTTGTTTTTTCTTTGTGCTTTAAAATAATTGTATTGCAGAGCCCTGATGAGTGTTTTAAAATTTTAATAAATAACACGAAACGCGTTGGCAAATTAAACTCTGCATTTCTTTAATGATTTTTGATATCAAGCACAATAACTTGTTGTTTTAGCACATTCATTTAATCTTGACAATACAATCGATTGCTGAAAAGCAAGAGTTGAGAATAGCAGATTGACTTTTATCTATTCTTTCAAAATAGATAGGCCAACCTGTTTTTATTTAACCTATTCACCGATGAAGTTGATGTAACTCTTTGTAAGAAGCTCTAGNTTCTCAGTGAAACCACTAAACACTTCAGCATACCGACATGTTCTAAACAAAAAGTTTTTTATACGTTCTCTCTAGTAATTTTTCCTATTGATAGATTCAAAAAGCTTCAAATGTTAAAAAGGTTTTATTATCTTATTTTTGAACAAAATATGATCTTACTACACTGAAAAAATAAAACGTCTATTTGGTCAGTATCTAACTGACCGAAATATGTGAGTTCCACATTTTAGCTCCAATGGGGCTGCGCTGAAAAGCTTTTTAAATAAAAATAAAATTTTGTGTTATTTTCATAAAAAAATTTATTAGTAAACGAAAAAAATTTATTAGTGAAATAAAATAATTTAGTAGCAAAATAAACTTATTTATTACTAAAATAAAAATATTTATTGGTTAAATAAAATAATTTATAAGAAAAGTGAAAATATAATTTGTGTTCTTTTCATAAAATATTTATGATTTAAATGAAAATAAAATTTTGTATTATTTCTGAAAAATATTTATAAGTAAAATAAAATTTATGTTGTTTTGAAAATATTTTATTGGTAACATAAAAATATTTATGTCTGAAATAAAAATCAATTTGTTACTTTGAAAATATTTTATTCATGAAACGAAAAGAAAAAGATATATATTATTTACGTAAAATATTTTTTATTGAAATGAAATTATTTATGATTGAAAAGACAAGAAATGAATTGATTGGAATGAGAATTTTTTTGCTTACAGTTAATAGTTGCTCGCGCGACCAAGAGCTACATTGGTGGTGCCATAGAGAGCCAAGGCTCTTCACGTACAGGCATAGATCTAGCGTGTATAGAACATACAACAGAGAGATCTATACGCGGCCTGTATGTGCTATGAGCACCAAGATAGGCTTGGCCAGTTTCACGCCGATGTATGGAAGGCCACCGTAAGACGTAAAAATATATACATATTTACAAAATTATACTTACTTTTTTGTATTACGAAAATAGATAATAGAAAAACAATTATTATCGTTTAAAATAGAAAATAGAAAAAAATTGAAAGTAAAATGAAAATAGAAAGACAATTATAATCATATAAAATTAAAATAAATAAATGGGATAAAATGCTGAGAAAACGAAAAAATTAAATTAAAAAACTAAAACTAATACTTACCTATGATATTGAACAATGGTAATTGTGAATACAAGCTAAAATAGTTAAAAAATAAAATATACATATATACATATGATAATGTAAAAAGAAGAAAGAGGGGGAATGATTTCTAACGTTGAAAATCATTACTATTTATAGGCATTTTTGTTATTCGTGATAATTAGACAATTGGTAAGCAACCGCGATCAAATGAATTTCATTTCTATTTGTAAAAGTTAACATCCCGCTCACTGCATATAGTGGTGTTTGATGGTTTTGATTGATTGCTATGCAATCGATCGTAAAGATCACAAGCATTCCTGAGAGTGGCTAAAAAACAAATATTGTAGTATTGACTAGACCGCTAATTGATCTTTTATGTTCTCGTGTTACATCGTATATGCACCAACAACAATTATTGACGATCTTTTATATTTATTTTTCTAGATGATGTTTTACATGTATACAAAAATTGTTCAACGTTCATGACTTATTTTTCAATTAAATCTTGATACGAACATTCAGTTTCTATATTTAAAAACAACAGTAAAGAACAAGTAATGAAAAAGATGAAATAATTCAGGATTCAAAATCTAAAAGTTGCATTTTGTTAGATCATCTTTTTTTATTAAATAATAACAATTATTTGATCAACTTGAATTAAAGATGATAAATTGTAATACTTGTTTAGTCTACAAGTGAAATAATACTATTGAGACAATACTCGTAATCTAAATAAAAAAGATGATAAAAATCTCATATAATTATCGAAGGAATAATTCATTTTCTTATTTTTGAAAACCACTATGAAAAAGTTGACATTGCTATTAACGAATTCGTAGCAACATATATCAATACAAAATCGGTCTAGTACTGAATCAGAAATTGAACAAATATCATTAGTTATTGATGTTCTTGTGCTATAATAATAATTATTTCATTAGGTAGATAAACAAGATGAACGTTATTTCGATGCATGTTTCAATGTGTTCTGTAGAGCACAATTTTTCAGAGATTCATAATTGATTTGTTTGTGATTCTTTTCATTAACCAGTCGTTCAAACTCATCTCTATTACTCTAAACTAATCCAAGATTTATAATTTACTAAGAGGTAAAGGATCTCTCATGATCGGATATATGTTGCAATGACGAAAAATATCGAGTTAATGGAAAGGTAGACCTGCCAGCGCAAAACGTTTTATTTCAAAATGCAAAGAGCTCTCAGCACCTATCGTTTGTTTGCTTCTCGTCGTCTAGCATAAGCTATTTCATGAGGCTTCGATGTCAACAAATGAATGCTACTTTTTGTGGACGATGATGAGTAGCCAGATAAGCATCAACTTTGTAGTTTGATTCGATTAGAATTTTTCTCAAAAATAACTGAAGAATAATCAGATAAATTCATACGAACTGCATAGAGATGTATATATTCTAAGCTTGAAAATATCTCTTCTTCTTAGATATTAATTTTGCAAAAGTTGAATCTAAACAATGAATAGCTAGTTAATAAAAAGTAAGCTGGTGAATTCTGAAAAATGTTTTTGAAGAAATGAAAAATAACATGGTAGTCGATATAGATTAGATTAGACTATTTTATTCCAAATGAACTTTTTTCGTTTATTCTTGAAAAGACTAAAAGGACACTGAAAATTAATTTTTGTTGATTGAAAAAAAAGGAATCAAATAGTACATCGTAAAATTACATTTTTGACAATACGAAATGAAAATCTTTCATCTAAATAAACAAGAAGGATTTTTTTTTGTAAGTTTTTCGAGATAGTTTATTTTGAAACTATCTATGTTCAGACGATTGAACAAAAGTTTATATTTCTTATCGGAATGTATGTCATTCACTGGAAAAAACTTCTATTTGCGTTAGCCTAGAACAAGCATACGTGGTACATGTTTTTCAATAATGTTTATTATTGCAAGGTTCAGACCCATTTCATCGACAGATTAATTAATTATCCCTTTTCATCGACAAATTATTTTTTCCCTCTTCATCGACAAATTTTATTTAACTGTAATTTATAAAGAAAAAATGTATTTTATCAGAGCAACCAACAGTGATAACAGAAATAAGAACACAATTAAATAGTCCAATCGAAAGTGAAAATAGAACATGATTTTTTTTTTACCAATTGTTTTACTTATTTTGATGAAATAATCATCTAACGACAAAGAACCTGTTTCGTAGCGGTTCATTAAATTAAGAATTCTTTCATTTCGAATCATGAATTGTTTCCTTCGTTGAGGCTTTTTTGTGTTATTTTCAAGTTGTTTAGTCGTGGTCATGTTGAATGCATAATCCTTTTTTAATTCATCGATAACAACGTAAATATTTGGCGTGGAAGTGGCAATGTTCGAATTAAGCCGATGGTGCTAGCCTTCCAATCCATTGTTAGTCCTAGGACCATTGAAATTGTAGTAATTCCAAAGTTGTCTAGGATATAGGCACCCTTTGTCAATCCATGTATCTGTATAATAATCAAAGAAATCTTGTGAACGTGGTATATGTTCGAACTTGTCCATAATTGTACACCATAACTCATTTATTTTAGAAATTGGCATAAACGCCAATGCTCCAGTTTGTTGAACTAAACATTTAACACTTGTTGGATCATCTTCTAATGAATCATAATAATCTTTTTGTAAAGCTAAATCTTGAATCTTCTTGAAAATACACTGGTTGTAATGGAAATTACAACCTTTAATTGTTGTATTGGGAAAAACATTTTTTAAATCCGCTAATAGCACCTTGTTCGAAATCGAGAGTGACGAATTATGGATTAAAAACCAAATCATATTTAACAGCAGCAGTTCTTAAATCATTGAGAAATAATGTGTAAAGATTTTTCGTTTTGTTTGGTAATAGAGACTATGAGACTGGAGTAGTACCATTTAAGATCGATGAATAACAATGAATAGAGTATAGTTGTGCAAATGGTGGCGGACATGACTTAAAAGTGCCGTCTAAGAAGATATGACTAGATTCACATAGTACTTTTAATGAATGTAATGTACCAAAAGCCAAATATCTAGGATTGTGATGATCAATAATAATAAAATCCTCGTTATCCAGTGACATGCGCCATTTACCTAAAACCGAAAATATTCATAAAAAAAAGTTCACTTGTTTTCGGCATTATCTAACATACCTTCAACATATACTTCATTGATCGACCTAGGCAGTGGTGGGTAGTGTTCATTCTTTGTTCGATATAGAATAATTTTTAATTGATGAAATAGTAGTAATGTAGCCACATTCTCTGGATTACTTATGTATCGTTTGATTAATTCCGACCGATATAATTGTGTTAACGGTGTTTGTTCTTCACGAATACGATGTTTCAAATCTTTTTTGAACTGTGCTATATCATTTGCTTCTTTTGGAGGATCATGATTGTATGGTGATGTTAAAACAGGTGGCTCTTCAATATTTTGTTTAGCACGTCCCGAACAATTAATATATTGTTCACATCGCCAATATGTCCTGGTGTTACGAATACGATCGCAAACATAGCGATATTCATCGAATAACGAGCATTGTTTGCCTTTCGCCGTTTCAACAATCGTGTACATCTTTATCGAAATATATGTTGCACCGAAAACACTCACATATATATTCACTTAGAAATACAGACACTATGTTTCCTTTGTTATTATCCATATGACTAATTTTACATATAAAGAATAGTGATGTACACTAATCGAATACGTTTTTCTGGCCTTTATACTGAAGATTATATTACGTTCGACAAAATTTCAATTCTTTCGTGATGTTTTCCTTTATTTCTTCCTCCAGGGAAAGATTTCTTCAGTATAGTTATGAAACTATTCAATAACAATGTGTCGATGAAAAGGGAAAAATATCTTGTCGATAAAAAGGGAAAAATATCTTGTCGATAAAAAGGGAAAAAATATCTTGTCGATGAAACGGGATTAATTAAGGATTTGTCGATGAAATGGGAAGATACCTTATTGCAAGTATCAAAGAAAATATTTCAATCAGTAAAATGATTTCTAATCGCTTCTAGATCCAAAATCCCAATGAGAAAACACTTTGTTCTTCAACAAGGCATTTATTTATTCAAATTGAATTTTCATCACAAATATAACTGCCATTACTTTCTTTAATAATATTTCCGTACAGATTTCGATAGATTTTCATTTCAATAAAAGTAACTATTAGAACAAAAACAATCGGGATGAATTGCATCGCTTTCTTGGCCTTAACCCTTATAGTAAATAAAAATGAATAGTTACAAGTATTGTAGTTAAATGTGTTCGATTTAATGTAATCGTCATACAATAATCAATTCGTATCAACACTAATACTAGTCAAATGAAATAAGCACGAGTAATCGAACCTATCACTCATCGAACTTCGCAGAAAAAAAGTAATGAAAAATGGATGTAATAAAAATTTAAAAAAAACTATTTCAAACATATCCTTTTCGGATTTACATTATTCATGAATACATAGATATCTAAAATTATTAATTTACCCTATAATTAGATTTCGATTTAGTTAGATGGTGTGAATTACTGCATATGAAGAGTACGGTTGTTTTATTGCAGTTATATAATATATTGTCCATCAATGAATACCTTTTTCATTGCAATCCCAAAATAAAGGAGACATGACTTTCGAAATGCTGGTTTGCTGCAAGCACCAATTTCCTCTACTGAAAGGAGGGTCATACGAAAAGTGAGCTAGCGTCGTTCGATCGTCCAATAGGAAAGCTGATGCACAAACTTAATTAAATTTGAGCAAAGTTTATCGGAACCGGGGCGCTCAAATCTAGCATCAGTTTCTTGAAACTTTCTAGTGGATTTTTCGGTGGCCAAATATTATTGTTCTGAGATCTATAACAGTTTGAAAAGAAGAGCTCTTTGTCAAAATGAAATAAAGTGTTCAGCAAATGAAAAGTTCTTTGAAAGTATTTATACTTTACAGAAGGATATTTGAATGATTAGGATCCTTAATTAATCAACCTTTTGATTCTAGAGAAAATAACTGGTTCAAGTTAAATGTGTAATTAATGCTTTGTGATTTCTCTGGTTCCATGTAGTATATAATGAATGGAGAAAATTCAGTTCTTCACATTTTCAGTTAGTGACTTTGCGTAATACAGTTTTCCAAACGTGTGCGATTCGATGAGGGTGATCCTGATTGATAAATTATATGTATATTTAAGGTATTCTCAAAAATAGGCAATAACAGTCTTTTTTACACATTGTGATTTTTGTGGAAACATTGCACTCTAATTCATTCCATCAAGCATTTTTACATCACCCATGACGTTGAATATATTTTGATGAAAATCTCTGATTTACACCGAGTGTATCAACAATTTCGTGCAAAGATTAAGAATTTATTCAGGCTTATGAACTAGAATTTTTAAGTCCGACGCTACTAATTCAACATGAATCCAGAGCTAATTGTTCACTTATGTTTAATGTTGTATTACAAGAATGTTTAATAGATATGACTTGTAATCGAATGAAAGTTTCATAAAAACTAGTAGAATTGTTTTTTTCTTTCGTCACACTGATGATTTATCTATTGAGATTAAAAATTGGAACTCTAAGTTAAACGAAAGATGTAGTCATATTTTTTTGAAATGAGTCCAAAATCTTTGACAAATGTTTTTCTCTCATATTATCGGTATGGTCTCCAGAAAATTTCTATATCTAGATTTTGATAATTTATCGTGGTAACACACAATTAACTCACATTTTGAATTAGTTATGATTGAACGATTTTGAAAGCAATTTTACCGTTGAATTTTCGTTTCTCATGAAAATACTATTTAAATATTCGCTTGTCAGAAAATATGGGCTAGAGTGTGAAATGTTGTTTTTATTGC